TCGCTGTGAAGTGTCTGGATGCTACATAGAACCCGATTCCTCTACTGGGGACTTAATGGGTGGAGTCCTCACTCCACCAGGTGTGGGAAGGAGGAAAGGCCCTAAGAGCAACCTGATCTCTCTGGGGCGACCCCGGGTGCCCCGCAGCCCAGGCAGGGACCCTGACAAAGAGGCTGACCTCATCCGCGCCCTGCGCAGCCTGTGCCCACAGACAGGTCACATGAGCTCCAGCCGGGACAACTTACGAAACACGGAGATACCCACATTTTCTTTCTTTTAAGGAACCATGTCATGTAAATTCCTCAGGGTATAAAAACAGTATTTTATTTGTGTTTCTTTATTTGAGTTTCAACTTAAAACTAAGCTGAGCACACAGAAAATCACTTTCTTTACTGTGTGCTACATAAAACCTGCCAACTGTCACTCCTATGTAATAATTTTCAACTGGCTGACATTTATCAACATGGTATTTTGACGTGTTTAAGTCCCAAAATAGGTAATATTTTCTTTCTTTTCTCCAAATTGCATCAGCGGTGAGTTGAATAAGAATGTGGAGGGGGTGGTATATGCACAGCTCCTCAATTTTGTTTTTCCTTAGAAACACATCACCCACATGATCCCCTGTTGCCCACATTGGCAATTGTTCCCTGAAGTGCGGAGGGACTTGGGGAGTCACAGACAGGGCAGTCCCTGTTCCCGTGGCTCACTGGGAACACTGCAGCCCGGACACCCCTCCTCGGAGCCTCCGAAGATGGTGGGCAGCCAGGGATCTGAGCAGCTGAGCTTCCCACAAGGCCACCACTGAGTCAAGGCCCAAGTCCTGACCGCTGGTTCCTGTGAGGGTGACCTTATTTGCAGAGGTGATTAGGTAAGACCTGGAGATGAGAGCCTTACAGCCCATGGCTGATGCCCTTATAAGAGAAGGGAGAGGGAGGCCGGAGACCCACAGACATCACCTTAAATCTATTACAGAAATTGAATTTAAGTTAAAAAAAACAAAACTCCCCCTAGAAAGAAGACTACTGCTGCACACCCAGATGGCTTCATGGGAAATTCTACCAATGTTTAAAGAAGAAATAATGCCAGTTGTACAAAAGCTCTTCCAGAAACGTCAGGACGAGAGAATAACCCCCAGGTCATTCTAGAAGGCTAACCTTGCTCTGATACCCAAACCAGTCAAGCACTATCCCTTATGAATATAGATGCAAATATCCTTTAAAATGTTTGCAGACAGAATACAGCAATGTAACAGGGTAATACATCACACCCAGGCAGGAAGATGGGATGCCCACTCACAACTTCTGTTCGAAAACTTCCTCAAGATTCTCATCAATAAAATTGAAGTATGGTAGCAATCATCTCAGATAGAAACTATAGTTTACCTTTAACCCTGTTGTTTGGCTTATGTACCTATTTGCTTTAACAATAGACAGGTTATTTTGATTTTCTGAATTATATAAATCATCCCATTCGATTAAATACCCTATTGATTGTAATGTGAAATCCCATTTGTAGTGGTCATACTGGTCTTAGAAAGCACATTTTTCCTTCACCTGGGAAGGATAGCACAGTTATCCCAAGGTCAGAGGGCTCTAGACCCAAAACTGTAATTTAGGTAACATGCCTAAGTTTAACCCAGGTTATCCAAGGGCTCTAGATAATGTGTTTATAACATGCTGTTTCTGCTTCTGTAAACTGCTTTTTTGCAAACCAGGTTCCTCATTCCAAACCTTGAGATGTAATCAATACCTTTGTGATTTTTTGCCTATATAACCTTGGAGCTGCGACCATCTTGTTACTATGAGATTTGGGGAATGGCCCCTCATAGTCCCGGATTGCAATAAATGTGACTCTTTAATTCAATTTCTTGAGGCGTCCTGTGATTCGTGGGGTACATTACAACAAAATCAGTCAAGAAAAAGAAATAAAAGGCATCAGATCAAAAAGGAAAACCTAAAATTGTCTTTATTTGCAGACAGCATGATTTTCTACCTAGAAAATACAGAACCTCTGAGAAAGCTACTAGAACTTGCAAGTGAATCTACTAAGGTTTCAGGACACAAAATCTATATATAATTAATCATATTTCTAATACTACCCATGAACAATGAAAAATGAACTTTTTAAAAAAGTACATGTACAGTAGCACTGAAAAATTAAATAGTGATACATCTGACAGAAGATGTATAAAATTTGTACACTAAAAGCTATAAAACATTGCTGAGAGAAATGCAGAGACATGCAATGTTAATCAAAAGACTCAATATTGTTAAGATGTTATTTCTCTAAAAAATTGATGCATGGAGTCAACATAATCCCAATCAAAACTGCAGAGACTTTTTTGTGTGGAAAATCACAAACTGATTCTAAGATTCCAGTGGAAAATGAGAAGGATCTGGAATAGCTGGAACACCTTTCAAAAAGGAAAAACTGAGTTTAGTTTGGAAAACTAAAGCAATGCCACCTGATTTCAAGACACATTACAAAGCGACAGCAAACAAGGTGGTGTAGAACTGACATCAACATTGATGAACTGATCAACAAGACAGGATAGACATTCCAGAAGTAGAAGCACGTGTATGTGGTCAGTTGAGTTTTGACAAAGGTGCAAAGGTAATTCAATGGAGAAAAAAATAGTCTTTACAACAAATGGAGGAACAATTGTATATCCATGTGCAAAAAAAAAAAAAAAAAAAAAAAAAAGCCTTGTAGCTATACCTCACTCCATATAAAAATTAGCTCACAAAGCTTATAGACCTGAATGCAAAATCTAAAACTATAAAACTTCTTGAAGAAAACAGGAGAAAATATTTGTGACCTTGATTTAAGCAAGGCCTTTTTAGATATAACACTGAAAACTCAACTCATTTTTAAAATGATAGATTAAAAAACAACCATGAAAGGCAGAACTAAAATAAATATCATGCTTGTAAATTAATACCAGGCATGTGGGCACTTATCCAGAAAAACAGGGCTGGTTTAAGATTAGAATATCCATCAATTTCATTCAACATATTAATAAGATTAAGGAGAAAAACTATAGGATAGATTTTTTTTTTTATAAAATGACAAGAACTCTCAACAAACAAGGAATGGAAGGGAACGCCCCGAACCTTATTGAGAAAACCTATGGAAAACCTGCAGCAAACATCATGACTTCACACTTTCCCCCAAGGTTGTTAACGATTAGGGGTGCCCTCTCACCACTTCTGCTCAAGTCTGTGGAGGATGTCAGTGAAATGAAAGAGGAGAAAGACAACGAAAGGCACAAGCTTGGAAAAATAAGCTATATGCACAGGTAGCATGATTACAAACAGAGAAAATTCTAAAGAATCTACAAACAAGCTACCCAAACTAATGAGTGAACTTAGCAAGGTTGCAGAATAGATAGTAAACACACAGCATTCGGTTGTGCCTGTATGTGCTAGCAACAAACTTCTGGAAGTTGAAATTAAAAATTACAATTTAGAACATGAAAACATAAAATACTTAGGGACAGAATTAGACATAGATAAGACTTATAAATTATAAGCGAAAATTATAAAACACTAGAGGCCCGGTGCACCGGTGGGGTTCCTCAGCCTGGCCTGTCCCCTCTCTCAATCCGGGACGCCGTTGGGAATCAGGCCTAAACCAGTAATCTGATATCCCCCAAGGGATGTAGCAGTGCATGAAGCGGCAGCCAGCCGGGGGGCCGGGTGCTGCTCCTGCTCATCCCAGTCCCACTGCGCCTGCTGCTGCTTCCGCTAGGTAGCGCTGCCACGGAGGCAGGAGAGGCTCTTGCCGCCACAGTTGCGCTCACCAGCTGTGAGCCCCGCTTCTGGCTGAGTGGTGTTCCCACTGTGGCAGTACACTGACCACCAGGGGGCAGCTCCTGCATTGCTTAGGCTTTTCTATATATAGACTAGAGACTCGGTGCACAAATTCATGCATGGGTGGGGTCCCTGGGCCTGGCCTGCGATCGGGGCCAATCAGGGCGGTCTCGCCCAGTCCTGATCGGGGCCAATTAGGGCTGGCTGGCCAGGGGGAGGGACCACGGGAGGTTGGCCAGCCAAGGGAGGTTGGCTGTGGGAGCGCACTGACCACCAGAGGGCAGCTCCTGCATTGAGCGTCTTCCCCCTGGTGGTCAGTGTGCATCACAGTGACCAGTCGACCGGTCATTCAATTGCTTAGGCTTTTATATATATAGATTGCTGAGAAAATTTAAAGACAACCTAAATAACCAAGCATGAATTACTCAATAATGGTAAGCCATTGATTTTTCCAAATGATCAACAGATTCAACACAATCTCATTAAAAATCCCAGCAGATGTTTTGGGGGATATTAACAAATTAATTATAAAGTTGTATGGGAAATGAAAGTATCTAAAAGAGTCAAAACAATTTTGATGAAGAGGAACAAAGTTGGAGGACTTACATTATCTAATTTCAAGACCTAATATAAAGCTTCAGTGATAGAGACAGTGTGATATGGGCATAGGTCGATGGGCAGGTAAATGGAACACAATACAAAGTCCAGAAACAGACCCACATAGACATGATCACTTGATTTTTGACAACGTTGTCAAGGTAATTGTATGGGGCAAGATATTTTCTTCAACAAATGCAGCTGGAGCAGTTGGATATCCAGATAGAAAAAAATGTAAATCACTGCCTCTACCAGCAATTCATGCCATACACAACCATTAACTCAAAATGGAATATAGACCTAAATGCTAAAGCTAAAACCATAGACTTCTGAAATAAGAAAATCTTTTTTTAAAGTTTAAAATTGTTTTTGATTTATTAAAAGTATCTTAATGACCTTGGTGTAGGTAAGTCCTTCTAAAACAGGATACCAGAAGCATGACCCATGAAAGAAAGATATTGATAAATTGGACCTCATCAAAATTTAAAACACCTGCCTTTTGGAAGATACTATTGATGCTTAACAAAATATGCCAACACTTAGCTACTGAAAAGCACAGGACTTACTGTTTCTCATTATTCTGTGGCTTACCTGGGAGGTTGGTCCATTGCAGGTGCTGGGGTCCCTCATTCAGCTGCATCCACCTGGGGCTGCATCCACCTGGAGCAGAGACAGCAGTGTGGGCCAGGGACAGCCACCTGGGACAGGGACATCCACCATGGCCTCTGGTCCCCCACAGTCTATCTTTACACAACCTCAACAACATCAACACAACCAGTAGTATTCCTCCGTACGAGCCATGAGCAAACAGTAAGACTCCTTTATTTTACCACAACAAAATTATAATATATCCAGGAATTAATCTAATAAATATGGAATTCTTATGTAGAAAAATTTTAAATGCTCTTAAAGAACTTAAGAAGACTTAAATAAATGAAAAAAATAACCATGTTGGTGAAAAACAATGCTTAAAATGGCAAAGTATCATATACAGTGGGGCCTTGACTTACAAGTTTAATTCGTGAAGGAGCTCGTTAACTCAAATTACTCTATCAACTCAATGCAAAAAATCGGCTGAGAGACAGCTGGTATCTCAAAAAACTCATTAGTTGGGACACTCGTAAGTCAAGGCCCCACTGTACTCTGTATGAAACATGTTTTATTTTCGGTATTTCTAATGCTTTGACATCTGGGAGCCTTGCCGACCGATTGCCTCTCCCAGGGCTACCTGCCTGGGAGCACACCTTTCAAATGCAAACCAACCCTCTCCTCAATCAGGCACTCAAACTCCAGACCAATGTCCCTGCCCTAATCACCTCAGGGCAGATACCAGACAATCAGGGGCAGCCCCTACACCCTGAGCCTCTCACTGAAATTATTCAAACTAGCCAAATGTAAGCCTGCTTACCCTTCGTGGCCTGTTTCCTCTTGTGGAAATCCTATATAATAAAAGTGTAGTATGCAAATTGTTCCCTGGACAGGGATTTCATCCAGGAGTTCGACCAGGGGGTAGGGCCAGCCAAGGGAAGGGAGGGAGGCCCCAGCTGGCAGCCGGCAGCTGCTAGGGACCCTACCAGTGCACAAAATTTGTGCACTAGGCCTCTAGTCACAAATAAAGGATTTTGCCCATGGTTTTCCCTCGCTTTCTCTGCCCCCTGACCGCTTTCTCCTGGTTCTTCCCCCTATGGCAGTGGTTCTCAACCTTCCTAATGCCGTAACCCTTTAATACAGTTCCTCATGTTGTGGTGACCCCCAATTTCATTGTTACAAATTGAACATAATTAAAGCATAGTGATTAATCACAAAAAAATATGTAATTATATATGTGTTTTCAGATGGTCTTAGGCGACCCCTGTAAAAGGGTCGTTCAACCCCTAAAGGGGTCGCAACCCACAGGTTGAGAACTGCTGCCCTATGGCCCCATGTCCCTATGTGTCTCTTGTGTGTAGGGAGCTGTGAGTAAAAGTTCTCCCTTGATGATAGTCACACCCCGTCTGTGTCTTTCCACAGTTGATTACACCAAACTCCAGGTACCCAGCAACACATTCTTACGAAAGCAATCTACACATTTAATGCAACTTGAAACAAAACTTCCAGTAAAAACCTTTAGCGACAAGACAAACTGATTCTATCATTTGGATGGATAACAAGTCCTGTGAATCGCTGAGGCAACTCATGAAAAGAAGTGCCAACAGGAACGCACCCTATGGTTACTAAGGCAGATTATTTCTAAGATAGAAGTGACCGCAGTGTGGGGCCAGCACAGGAACGAATAAACCAATAGAATAAAATAGAACACCCAGAAATAGCTTTATAAATACTTCTGCTCATGTACCAAGTGGAGCCACACGTGGGAGAGAGACTGATAAATGGTTGTGAGAATATTGGGTCGCCATGTAGAGAAAAAAAAATCTTAGAATAAAAATAACCATGAAAAGCAGAACTAAAAATAAATATTAGAAAGAAATGAAGAAGAACATCTTCCTTTTCTGTAAATAAGGTTAAAATTCAACAATTTAACACACCACAAATCCCCAGCCCCACAGCAGTCAGCAGGCACCTGCATCCTCAGTTCATCTAGACCGTGGGAGAGAGTTTTCTCTCCATTTACCTGCTTAAACGAGAAAAAGAGCAGGGAGCCACAGGGACTGAGCAAGGCCAGCACCTCCTGTGCTCCCAGCATCTGCATTCCAGAAGGTTCCTGGAGAACCATGTGGGACTTGCCTTAGTAGTTAAAGGGCCTGTCTGGTGGTTTTTTCCAAAACTGAGAAACTAAGTCCCAGAGATGAATGGAAGTCTATTCCCCTCTTCTGAAAGAAACTGCTTATAACCCCAGATCGAAGACCAACTTCTCCTAATCAAGCTTTCAGAACCCCCTGGGACTTCTAGAACATTCCATCACACTATCAACATTGAGGCCTAACAGTGAACAACCAGCGCCGCCAGCCAACCTCCCAGCCTGCACCATTCTCCCCACAAGCCCACCTGCCAGCCCCCACCTGTCACTCAGCCTCCAAGAGATAACTCACTTCCTCACACACAAGGAACCTTTGTCCACAGTGGCTAACCCACCCTGTTAGCTGTCTCTCCTTTGCAGCTGTAGCAGGAAGGGGTCCCACCCTGGGTCCTCTGGACTGAGATGGGGCCATCCAGGGGTTTTCAGCTGCTCCTGCACGGCCAGCTCTTTGCCTTCACCTAGGAACACCTGAGAGTACCCTCCCTAAAGCAAAGGCCCTGGATCTGCCCCCCTCCCCCACACCTCCTCACCCTGCATTTCCATCTGCACTCCTCCCTTTTTCCCTTCCTCCCTCCATTCTATTCTGGACAGTCCTCCTTGAGTGGGCAACTCATGGAATCCACCCTTCTGAGCCCTCACTCCTCCACCCTGCTC